GGGATTTTGTTGTTAATGAATGGGAGGAATTATTAAGTGATGAACAATTGGATGAAGAATCTGATAAAGAATCTGATGACGAGATAGATAATGAATTGGATTTTTATGATTCTGAAATTCATCTGGCAGAAAATCAATCAGCAAAATGGAAATTGGAAGATTTATTTTTATCTAATTTGCCACCTTTAGTTTCTGAATTATAATATTAGATATTGGATGAATTTATCAAGAACAGAGTTTTATTTAGTAAAAATAAAGATGATTATAACCATATTTAATGGTGTTTGTTGTGAAGGGGCAATTACCACCCTGGATGTTGCAGTTTCGAGGTGGTACACGAAAGAGAAAGTAAAGAACCGAATTAGCGTAACTCACCCTTATATATAGTAATTTCGCTCATAATTTCATGATCTATCACCATTAAATTATTAATTAACCGATCATACCTGGAATAGAGATAGTAAAGTTATTAGTATATTGAATTGATACATTTCAAACAAGGAATATAAACTAAAAGTAAAAAAAACACTTATTTAAGCCCCAGTATTGTTTTTACAAGGCCCAAGTGCCAAAAACTTGGACAAAATCTCACGTGCTCAGTAGTATCATATTTAAGTTTGTTCATTACTTTTATTGCTTTTTATTAGTATAGTAATTTAAAGATCTATGATTTTTTTTTTAGCCATCCGTGTTTGTGATTATTTGCCACAATTTGGAATTAATTTAGTAATGGATGAAAAACTTATTTTAAAGCTATTTAAAGTAAGTTCTAGTTTTAGTATTCGAGGTTTAAACTATAAAAATAATTTAGTCAGCTTTGTCAATTAAGTAATAAAATATAAGCATCAATTTAGAGATGATCTTTGAACAGCCAAATTAATCAAAGAATTTCAAGATAGAAAATATCATAATAAATTTTATTTATATCTGAGTTGTTTTAGGACCCAAAATCCACTTAACTGGATTTTAAATCCACAGAATTTCGAATCTATTTTCAATGTATATTTCTTATTCAGAGTTCTATAATATAAATAAATAATGATAAATAGATTTAGAATGTGATTAATTCAGAGTCGACTAAGCCTATTTTCTAAAAAATTGACCGACTTGGCTAAGTTGACTAAGTCGACTAATCCCTAATTAGCTTACACAATACTAATTTAATAATTTCCTCAGAAACTCTCACTTTCGTAATAAGAAATAAATAAGGAAGGATCGCTTTGGAATTATTATGTCAGAAAGATTTACTAGACAAAGAACTTTAGATAGTATGCCGCTTAATG